TCATCTGCCACATCATCAATCCCTAATATTTAATAATATTAGCCATCATCTGGCTCGGCCGCCGCTCCGTCGCTTCGAGACGGCGGCTCATCCTCTCCATCTCCTCCTCGAGCTCCCTCTGCTCCTCCTTCAACCTCCCTATCTCCTTCACGATCTCGCCGTCGTCCACTGACTCTGCGTACACATCACGCGCGAGCTTTCTACGCGCTATGTTCTTCAGCAGATGTTTCTGCCCCCGTAGGAAGTGCTCGTTCGCGAACTCCCACCGGTCCGGATCCACCTTCCTAAACCCCTGCAGTAACCACAAAGAAATCAGAATTTTTCATCTGGGTCTCGACGAAATAGTGTGAAAAGCAACGATTCGGATATAAAACATCATCGTACGCAGGTAAGAAACCACAAACATGAACTCCGAAACACCTGAAAGAACAGAACTTTTCATCTGGGTCCCCAAGAAATCGAGTGAACAACAAAGAATCGAATACAAAACATCATCTTGAGTACCTCGGGACCCAAAAAAATCATTCCGAAACCCCAGGAAAAGTTTCAATTAATTGGGTCACGCCAAAATCAGGTGGAGAACAAGGATTCAGGCGTAAAACATAATCATACAGGACACGTACATAAGTATTGAGTTGTCGAACGAAGCTACTGAAGTTGTTGTGTTTGAAGTAAGAGGGCAAGATCCGGTGAGAGAAATCCAAAGGGTCGAAGACGATGAAGCTGTTGTTGGCACATCCCCAGGTAACGAGCATATCGGTCGTCGGATCGTTGACCATGTGATAAGTCTTCGCAACGAAAGGTGCGATAACGTTGCTGTTGCTATTAGCCTCCATTTTTTTTTTTTTTGGTTTCTCCCTCAGCTCACGGAGTCGCAGTCTGGAGGTAGAAGAAGACGGTGAACAAAAGCGTGGAATATATAAAGAGAGAAAGAGAGAGTAACGGCGACGGTGACAGATATGGTGACGTGGCAGAGTCGTGCTTTATAAAAGCGTTGGCTGTGATATTTACCGTCACGGGATGTAGGACCCATACAGGTGCCCCGTCGTGGTCCCATCCATGTGTGTGAGATATTTACCAACCCCACACGCGCGAGTAGTGTAGCGCGTGGCGCGTGTCGGAAGTTGGACTGTGTGGTCCCTACCCAGTTGATGGACAAAGCGTTTAGCTACGCGACACGATATGTATAATTTTAGCTAGCGATTCACACTTCACTCGAGTTTTTATGTATTTTTTTCTTTCATTTTTTGAATTTTATTATTGTGTTTAATAATTAATCGATCCCTCACTAACTTTTTAATTTTAATTACGTCTGCTTAAAATTGGCTAATGAATTAGTGATTAGTTCCTTTAGTCATGGGATTACTTTAAACTCCGGGATAAAATAATAATGAACCTATAAATATCATTTCGAAGCTAAACAAAAGTTTTAATATGAGAATTTAAAATCTAAGATTAAGTAATTCAATCGATAAAAAAAAGAGACTTTAATCTTGATTCAAATTTTTATTTGGGGATAGCTATTCACGTGGATCTTTCTATTCTTGGAGCGAACTTTTAGATTATACAAAATATGGGAGTTTGTAAAAAAAAAAAGAAAAAAAAAAGACAGAAACAACTCATTAGATTTGATCACGGGAGGATCAGATTATCGTTGTTTTTTTTTAATTTTTTAAATCGCTCGGGACTGAGGTGTTGACTGGTGGAATCGCAATCGCAATCACGATGATTGCGGACGTTTATGATGCATTTGCTGGTGATTCTAGGCGATTGGTACTGACTGGTAAAAAAATTGTTGTTGGTAGCGATTGCGAGTGATTACGATTTAGAACGATTGGTTGACAGCGATTGCGATTACGATTTGATTTAAATTATAAAAAAAATACATCATTATATACAATACTAACCATTTTTAAAATATTTTTAATTAGTTTTTTTACTATTATTTAATATCAAATAATTATTAAATTTATAAATAATTAATTATAAAATTGAAAATATTATTTTGTTATCCATTTAATTTATTTTCAAAGATAATTTTAATATTAAAAATATTTATTGGTAAAACCAAACAATATCAAATATATATATATATACGTGTATGTATATGTACACATGTATATATATGTATGTGTATATATATGTATGTATGTATATATTTATATATGTATATGTGTATATATGTATGCATGTTTATGTGTATATAGATGTATGTATGTATATATGATTGTTTGTGTATATATATGTATGTGTGTATATATGTATGTATGTATATATGTGTATGTATATATGTATGTATGTGTATATGTGTCTGTATATATATGTATGTATGTGTGTATATATGTGTGTATATGTATGTATGTATATGTTTATATATGTACGTGTGTATATATGTATATATATGTATATGTATGTATGTGTACGTGTGTATAGATGTATGTATGTATGTATATATATGTATATTTATATGTATATATGTATGTATGTATGTATATATATATGTATTATATATATATATATATATATATATATTTACACATACGTAAGTTCTTTATATATTAATATGATATGTATGTATATATATATACTAATTAATTTAGGGTATTTTGATCATTTAATCAAAACGCTATCGTAACGCAATCTTTTAGTTGCGATTAGAATATTGATGTTTTGTTGCGATTGCGGGCGATTACGATTCTAACAATCACTTTTTTAATCACCCGTAATCGCCAGAAGTCGCAATCGCGGTGATTGCAGGTGTTTATGATGCGTTTGCTGATGATTCTAGGCGATTGGTACTGATTGATAAAAAAACTGTTGTTGGTAGGGATTGCGAGTGATTACGATTTAGAACGATTGGTTGACAACGATTGCGATTGCGATTTGATTTAAATTACAAAAAAAAATACATCATTATATATAATACTAACCATTTTTAAAATATTTTTAATTAGTTTTTTTACTATTATTTAATATCAAATAATTATTAAATTTATAAATAATTAATTATAAAATTGAAAATATTATTTTGTTATCAATTTAATTTATTTTCAAAGATAATTTTAATATTAAAAATATTTATTGGTAAAACCAAACAATATCAAATATATATATATATATGTATATATGTATATATATATATGTATGTGTGTGTATATATGTATGTATGTATATGTATGTGTATATATATATATGTACGTATGTATATATTTATATATGTATATGTGTATATAGATGTATGTATGTATATATGATTGTTTGTGTATATATATGTATGTATGTATATATGTATATATATATGTATGTATGTATGTGTATATGTGTTTGTATATATATATGTATGTATGTGTGTATATATGTATGTATGTATATGTTTATATATATACGTGTGTATATATGTATGTGTACGTGTATATAGATGTATGTATGTATATATATATGTATGTTTGTATGTATATATGTATGTATGTGTGTATGTATATATATATATGTATTATATATATATGTATATATACACATACATACGTAAGTTCTTTATATATTAATATGATATGTATGTATATATATACTAATTAATATTAAAGGTATTTTGGTCATTTAATCAAAACGCTACAAAACGCTATCGTAACGCAATTTTTTAGTTGCGATTAGAATATTGATGTTTTGTTGCGATTGCGGGTGATTACGATTCCAGCAATCACTTTTTTAATCACCCGTAATCGCCAAAAATCGTAATCGTTGCGATTGCGGATGTGACACCCGAAACCCGTATCCCGCAATACGAGTTGCGCCACATGGACAAGTAAAATAAAAATCGCATTTCCAAAAATCCGCGGGAATTTAAAACTTTTATTTTGAGAGTTCAGCGGAAGAAACTTTCTTACATACATATACGGTACATTATTCCAGTGGTAATTATACATACACAGTGGTAGTATCACATTATTACAAACCATAAAAGTCTACCACCGATATAACACAAACCGTTCCCCGAAAACGTAAATGTACCGTAGAGAATAATTATACATGATCACACGGCAGGTCACACCAGTCCTCGATGTCCGCTCCTCGGCTACTGCTGCTCACGACCTGAAACGTTGCGTAACAACGTCCTAAGCTAATTGCTTAGAGAGTGAACTCGGGCGTAACCCGGAGTTCCATTCTCATGGTGCCAGGGAAAGCACAAACATATAGATATATGTGTGTATGTACTAATATTCTAATAAACAGGAATTGAACACATAAATCACTGTAAGCACGCAGCAATCACAATCAAGTCCGTACGACAAGTCGGCCGTACGACAAGTCGCAGGACAGAGTCCGTCAAATCGTCTCTACGCGCACCATGCGTAGGTAGGTACTCCCCATGTGCGTAGCACAACCACCTCTCTCCTCGGATTCCATCTACTCCGCACACACTCGGAATCCGGCATAAGTATCTTTTTATTTTCTCCGCCCGAACACATCACCCCACCCTAGCATCGATGGCACCTCTCGATGCTAGGCGTGTCCCCACTCCGGCATTGATGTCACCTCTCAAT